ACACTCAAGCCACAGACTCCTCCATTTTGGCACGGAAATGTTAGCAACAAGGGTGGACTTCAAAAACATGGGTTAAAAGTTATGTGGAAAAAAGAAAGCTGTACAAACAATGCCTGCAGTGTCTGACAGTTATGTAAATAAAGAGCAAAACAATTCTATACATATTGTGTGGATAAATGCATGTGTTTACATACAAATGGTGGTGGGAAGCAGGTCTGGATTATGGGTGGTATGTAGCGGGAGACTTTAACCATCTGTATTCTGATTTCTAATGAACATATGGGCATGTGGCTCTTGTGCTATTTCAACATTTTTATTTATTTAAAATAAAGGAAACGAACATGCCCAGATGTGGATGACTACTTCTGGTTGGTGGGATGACGGGCAGTTGCTGTTTCCTTTGCCCTTTCCAGCTTCGTGATGCTCAACTGACAGCTACTGAGAAGGCTTCATCCTTATTTTGTATTCTCAGAGAAGATGGAGGCAGGATTCCCTTTCAATTTCTGCATTCCTTGGACCTGCTGAGACAATCAGGATAGAGAAGGGTTTGGGGGAACCCAAGTTTCCTAGCTCAACATTGCCCTCTTCTGTTGCTGCAGCTCTCTTTAGGAAATGCCCACTTTTATTGATTTAATCTTATTTATCGTGTTTCTTGGGAAGCCAGTTGGTTCTCTCTTTTATTTCGCTACAAGTCTCCAAGGCATCTCCCTCTTCCAGAATGGCCTCCTCCCTGCTGCATCTGGTCCTGCAGACTGGACGTGGCTTCTTTTTCTCCAAGAGCTAATGATCTGACGTTGCCAAGTGTGTTCATCAGCTTACTGCTGCTATGGAAAAACATCTGAGGTAAAATTAATCTTGACACAGAGCTGCGGGTTTTCAGGCCATAATCACTTGGCCCTGCCGCTCTGGGTCTGTGCTGAGGGGGAGCATCATGGTAGAGTATGTGGCAGGCAGACAGAGCAGCCCTCTAGGAAGCAGAGACGGGGGGGGGGGGGGGGGGGGGGGGGGGGAAGGGGGGGAAGGGCTAGGCTCAACATCTCCTTCAAGAGCACACCCCCAGTGACCCAAGGTCTTCTAACCAGGCTCCACCCCCTTCTACTAGCAACCCAGGCTGGGTGCTGTGAGCCTCTAGGGGACATTCTAGACTCCAGTGGTAACACCAGGCCTCACCACCAGCTCCAATACTCGGCCACTCGGGTTGGCTGGTCCCTCTCCTCCGCTGGCACCATCTGTGTTCTTCCACCACCTGAATTCTGTCAGACCACGTTATGTGCAAGCCAAACCATGCCTGGCTGGCAGTGGCTTTCTGAGCTGACATTTCCTTCCCTCATGCATCAAAACGTATTTGGAGATTTTCTTTCTCTTCCCTCTGTTGCAGGAGTGGGGTTATTTCTAGTCCTGTGAGAATCCCAAACAAACTGAAAACGAATCCATGCATTTTAACTTTTAGAAAGGACTGGGTCTTAGAGCTATCTTTTTTTTGCTATCTGCTTCTCATTTCATTGCCTTTTGCCTAGAGTAGTGCAGTCTAGCAGATCCAAGGCCTTTGGAAACTGAGGTTTCCTTTGTGGTTGAGTATGCTGTTGATTTTCCTTGGAGTGTTCCATGTGTGTTCTATATCTGTCTGAGCTTGGTGATCATGCTAAACAAATCTAGACTTTTTCTACATCTCTGATCTGCCATGTCTGTGGGTTAAAAAAAAATCTATGACTAAAATTCCTGCAGCTGTAACATCCTCCAGCCCGCTGGCTGCTGTATTTTGAGGCTAAATTCCTTGGTGCGTGGCTGGAGCGCACACATCCGCGGCCCACTGTTCCCTTTAATAGTACAAGGTCTTTGCCTTTTGTTTCCACTGTGAACTCTCATGGTCTGAGATGCCCTAATGTTTACAGATTCAGCATGTCTGTCTTGTGTTTGATACCGCCTGTCTTTCTTGTTTGGGTCAAAGAGAGGTCTACTTAATATCTTGGTTGTGCGAATAGTATCTTAAGTTTTCTTCTACGATTCCTCTTACTTCCTTGCTGTTAGTAACCCGTGAGCCTATGGAAAAGCATATCTGTACCAAGAACAGCTGGATTTTGATCAAGCGTTTCCTTAGATATTTATAAAACTTCCCTTTTGTTTTCTGACCAGGGCTGCCAGAGCGTCTGCCTCTGTGACCTGAAGCCCAGGCGTGGAAATCAGTTCCAGAAGGGCTGCAGTGCCCTGCCATGTGCACAGAGACAAGCCGGTGCCATGCATGTTGGCATCCACTGCCATCCAGCTACTTGGGACGTTGAGGCAGGAAGGCTTTGAGTTCAAGTCAGGAATGCCAGCTTGGCCAGACAGCAGTCCCCAGCCCCATTGCCATCTCTCAAGAGAGAGACATACAATGGAGCACTGTGAGAAGCCCCTGAGCTGCCACAGATGCTGCTGCCCCACACATGGGGAATGCCAAGCAGAGAAAGAGAGGAAGGAGTATTCAACAGAGCTGGGGGGGGAGGGGTGGTGCTGGGGAGCTGGGGTCCTCTAAGCAGGTGAGTTCCAGGGCAGTGCGAGCTGCGTAGTGAGAAGTTCTAGAAAGTCAAGGCCAAGCTGCCAGCCAATCAAACGAGCTGATAGACATGGGTTGCTTGGTTGGCTAGAGGAATGAACTAATAGAAAGATAAGAATTAAGACACTAATAAAAAAGAAACAGAAATGGAGGCTGGAGAGATGGCTCAGCAGTTAAGAGCACTAGCTGCTCCTCCAGAGGATATGACTGTGGGTCCCAGCACCTACCTGTCAGCTCGCATCTTCCCTTAACTCCAGCTCCAGCCTCTGCGGACAGCCCTGCCCACATAACTTACGGCCATCATGATGACAAACACATAGACATAATGAAATATAAAACTTTAAATCAAACAAAACCAAACGGTGCGTAGCGAAGAGAGAGATGGTGCTGTTACAGTAATCAATGTGATTCTCTGGAGAGTGGGAAGAGACAAAAGGAGGTGGCCAGACTTCGCTCCAGAGCTCACACCATACCTGTTTCTATTTTGTTGATTTCAGATCTCAATTTGATTATTTCCTGCTGTCTTGTTCTCTTGGGTGAGTTTGCGTCCTTTTGTTCTGTAGTTTTCAAATGTTCTGTTAATTCACTAGTGTGGGATTTTCCCAGCTTCTTTATGTAGGCATTTAGTGCTACGAACTTTTTCCTCTTACTACTGCTTTCATTGTGTTCCATAAATTTGGGTATGTTGTATGGTCATTTTCATTGAATTTTAGGAAGTCTTTAATTTCCCCCTTTATTTTTTCCTTGACCCATTAATGATTCAGATGAGCATTGTTTAATTTCCATGTGTTTGTGGGCTTTCTGGAATTAGTATTGCTGTTGAATTCTAGTTTTAAGCCATGGTGATCTGATAAGATACATGGGGTTACTCCATTTTTTTTTTGAATTTGTTGAGGTTTGTTTTGTTACCGAGTATGTGGTCAATTTTTGAGACAGTTCCATGAGGTGCTGAGAAGAAGGTATATTCTTTTATGTTTGGATATAATATTCTATAGATGTCTGTTAGGTTCATTTGAGTCATAACATTTGTTAGTTCCCTTATTTCTCTGTTAATTTTTTGTCTGACTGACCTGTCCAGTGGTGAGAGTGGAGTGTTGAAGTCTCCCACTAATAGTGTGTGGGGTTTAATGTATGATTTAAGCTTTAGAAGTGTTTCTTTTACATATGAGGGTGCCCTTATATTTGGAGCATAGATGTTCAGTATTGAGATTTCCTCTTGATGGATTTCTCCTGTGACTGATATGAAATGTCCTGCTTTGTCTCTTTTGATTGATTTCAGTTTGAAGTCTATTTTGTTAGATATTAGGACAGCTACACCAGATTGTTTCTTAGTCCATTTGATTGGAAAATTTTTTCCCAACCCTTTATTCTGAGGCGATGTCTGTCTTTGAGGTTGAGGTGTGTTTCTTGTATGTAGAAGAAAGATGGATTCTTCTGCTTTTGTATTCAATCTGTTAGCCTGGTACACACCATACCTGAATGCTATCTGGAAAACAAAGGGGTGCCAGCCTTGATGGTGCACGCCTGCCTCTGCCTTTAATCCCGCACTCAGGGGGTGAAGGAAGGCAGATCTCTGAGAGTTTGAGGCCAGACTGTTTCATATGGCGATTTCCAGGCCAGCCAAGGCTACATAGTGAGATCCTGTATTTTTTTTTTTAAACAAAAGAAAGATAAAAGAAAATGGAGAGGCCAGGACAAAGGGAGTCATACCTAGAGCGTGGGCTCGGCTCCCAGGAGTTGAACTGTGAGGTACTGTCCACTGGTGATGCTCTGAGATGGAAGTGAAAGAGGATGTTTTCTAACGCTGCAGTCTCAGCTCTAAAATGCTTGTTTCTGTTCCTTTGATATTTTCTGGCTGACCTGGAGGCTGTTTTTGTTGGGAACACAAGGGATGTAAGACTGTGTTTGCTCCCACTTATGGATTTAATTAGGTGTGGTGCCCAATCTATCATAAATCATGGTTTGGTTTCTCTCTGTTAAGAGAGTCAGAGGCCTTTAGGCGTGGGTTACTTACTAGCGTGCACTCTTACCTTTGGGACGAGTTATCATCCCAACAGTGTCAATCACGTGATCACCTTACGACCACAGCTTCTTCCTCGGTTGTTTTGTGTTACACGAAGATCATATTTTAGTCTCATATTTGTTCACAGACATGATTCACATTTTGCTATTTTGTACATACGGAAATCATTCTAAACACAGCAACAGTGCCAGCTTGACTGAAAAAAAAAAGCTATTTTCCATATCCACAAAAATGTTAATCAGATTCTTGTTAGAACATGTGTAAGAACTGGTTCTCATTGTCACAGCTCTTGATGTCAGATTACTAAAATAATTTATGTTTTGTTGTGGGGACATGGGTGCACGCAGAGCCTCCCAAGTCACATGACCACGTCTGAACCCACACTTCTTCCTGACACATAGAAATTATTTGTGTTTTGTGGTAACAAATGAATGGCAGGAACAGTGGAATTTCAACACGGCCGTTCTTTATTTGATTAAACATAGCCTCTATTTATTCTTAAAAAAACTAATTTAAGTTAAATGGCAACAAACCATGATAATTCAGAAAACATGTTGAAACCGAGAGTGAAGAGAAATGTCCTCTATGTAAACCACACTGTAAACCATAAAACTTATTTTTGTCAACTGCCTCTCATGACAGGGGCTGGGAATTTGACATTTCTACTACAGTAGGCAAAAACCATGTACAATGCACTCGCCCACACGGCACATCACGCCTCTATTTATATTTCCAGACTAAAGCATTGCTGCTCCCCGAGTGCTGCGTGCACTGTGCGGTTACGAGAACTGCAAGTTCTCCTCCAGGGCTGTGTCCCTGTGCCCGGTAGCCCCCACACCCTAGCCATCCTTAACAAAGCAAGGCTAGCTCATGGAGCTGAACTTTTCAGTGAACCCTGGCTAACACATGGCTAGACAAAGAAGCCGTGGCCTCGGCGTGAGGACACTCATTCCACTTCCCCATAGAACCCTTTAGCAGCCATTGCGTGTGAGCTTGGGAACATCTGCGGGAGTCTGAGGTAGAGGGTTTTAAGGCTAGTAAATACAAACGGCACAGAAGCCTGCCTAAATCCCCACTTGTACTTGAGGCACAGACTCTATATGGTCGACTCACTTCTAAGACTTCCCTGTCTCTACTTAAAGATGCTAAGAAGTCAGCACCATCCATTTTCCTCTCCGCAGAAAGCATTATTTAGTTTGGGATATAACATTTTAAAACAATAATGCATGCCTCCTGGGAGAATACCACAATAAATGTTTCAAAAACTGCTCAGCTAATCCCAGGGTATAATCTGGCTGTTTTAGATTACTGCAGGGAATATTATGGGCCTTAATGACACATTAGCTGCACAAAGCCAAAGAAAGCTGGAAAGGGAGGCCAAAAAGATGAGCTCAGAGCCAGCTAAAGTGACAACAAACATGTGGTTGTTTACTAGGATTGGAGAGGTTTTGTCTGCAGATGTTTGTGGTCACTAGAAGGTTCCAGAGGAGTGAGTTGTTAGGAAGATCTGCAGAGTCTGGTGAGAACAAGATTCCTCTTGGAGATGGCAGGCCTGGGGGCAGGGATGCCCAATGGTACAGAGAAAATTTATAGAATCCTGTGGTCACATCATACTCTACTGGGCCCACAGAGCGTGCCAACAGATTAATAGCGTATGGATGTCATTGCAAAGCCTCCCAAGGAGGAGTTACCGCTGAAGCCGTCAGCACACAGACGGTTCAACTATACACTGATATTCATACTTGCATTTCTGCATTATAGCTGCTTTTTCCCCTGTTGAACTGTAATGAATTGTCTCATAATCTATTCCATCTTCCTGCCATTAGCAGGCTTTGAATGTTCACAAATAGGAGCAAAGAACTCATTTTCCAGGGCTTTAATCACACAAAGAGGGAATGCCTAATTCTCTAAATGAAATGGTCTGTGATCACTGAAGCAGAGATTTAATATAGCACGGCAAATTAGGTAGATTTTAATAAATTACTTATCTCCCTGAATACTTTACATATGCTTAAGAAGGAATAGCCTGTTTGCAAACAGTGAAAACCCACAGCCTATAAAAATCCTTTGAAGAAAACGACAAATAAAAAAGTAAATTAAAAAATGAAATGCATTATATCTCAGACCCCCAGAGACAATTCCTTTGCAGCACCGATCACAGCTCCATTAAAAATATCAATTAAACCCTTCAGCAAGACCGTGTAAAAGCTAGAAATTAACTTCTGGAGCTGCTCTTTGAGGGTCTGCATAACCAGACACATCCAGCACTGTGTAAGCTTGAAGTAAGGTTAAAAATGATGAAAGGTCTCCTTTCATGTCTGACCAAACATCTTAGAGTTCGGGTCATACTTTATTTTTTATGTAATAACTTTAGTTTGTAAAGTATGGATTCCCTATATATATGTATGCATGTATGTATATATGCATGTATGTATCTCTCTATCTTTATATAATCATGGGTCCCATATCAGCATTACAGACACATGGATACCATATAACGACTACACTGTTTATGGAAAACAACAAAAACTGGGAGCAATTTACTAAGTTGGTGCCACATCTCCTTCTTTATATTGAATTGATAGAAACCGCATGCATCAAAGAAAACACATACTGAGCTTTAATGTGCTCAAAGTGGATATTAGCATTTTAAAGCACAAGATTAACACATTAATCCAAGTAATTTTCATATATTGCTTCTAATAAAATCTTCACAGTATAAAAGTCTTAATGAGGCTAATCAGAAGCTTTTCCTTTAGTGGGACGATTAGGGATAACGTAAAAAATATTTCTTTCCCATAGGTTTCCCAAGATTTAGGCTTTTCCTTATGAAAAATAAAACTATTCCCACTTCTTTGTAAGAAAATGTTACAAATGTAAATAGATATTTCATCCTAACATGTTGATATAAATTATTGAGAAGGTAGACCACTGAGGAGAACTGAAGTCCTAAGGGGTGGCAGTCATGGGTAGAGGGAACAGAAAAATAAACAAAAACCTATATAAGATTTGAAACTGAAGCCTAAGCCCAGCACCCCCCAGCTCCCCATGAATTATAGATTACACACACCAGAGTGATTACTCAAAATCTCATCCTGGAGTTTTCACGTGGGCATTTCCTCAGAGGTGGACGCCTCTGCAGCAGCTTCTTCCAGGCTTCCTAGTCCTCTCCATGTTGCTCGTTGACAGACCGCAGAGCAGCGAGCGCTCTCACGGTCACCTTCAGCTTGCCGATGCTGCCTCCGTCCGCTCGGGCATCCAACACTGAGAAGAGGGCAGCAGCAAGGTCAATGGCGGTCAGCAGTGCTCTTGGCTAGGCTAGTCATACGGCTTTGAGAGGAGCACAGTGTGTGGGAGCACATGTGTGAAGGCACACATTTTAGGTGTGCTCTGAGGCCTACCGAGTGAGAGACTACAGCTATACAAACTGCAGCCCTCCAAATCTCTGCAAAGGCATCGTGCAATTAACGTTAGGAAAAGCAAAATGTCAGTCAGACCCACAAACCTTAAGATGTCTGTGGATTGGCTCTGAAGGCCTGAGGTTCACTTCTTGAGTGAACGTGGGTTTTCCTTAAGAGAGCTACCAGTGATGGCCCAAAGGCAGACTAGTTACCAGTGATGGCCCAAAGGCAGACTAGTTAAGTCTCGGGGCTTCTTTGAACACATCCTGGTGCTATGCCAGGTCAGTCCCCTGGACCCTATCAGCTGGGGAGATATTCCCGAGGGATCCAAAGCCAGAATTCTAGAGTTTGTATGTTTGATAGTGCTTATGGGTCTTGTAGTTTCTTGTTATTTCTTTGAACTTTGACGATGGGGGTGGATCAAGTGTTTCTCTAGCCTCAGCACCCTGAATAGATGAGCTACAGTGACTGCCTCTAGTAGTGCCTGTGTTATTTCAAAGAACCATTGTGAGAAGACCTTCAAAGAAAACTTGGTAGGCATGTGGGGTGGAGAAGGGAGCCCCCAGACGCGCAGTGGCCCAGTGGTTCCCAGCGTATTCTCCTGAGCTCTCATCTTTTCTGGAGACCACTCACTTGCACATGATCCAGAACAAGGTATTAAAATGCTGTTAGAAACAGTGTCTGGCCATTGGACTAGCTTCTTAAACATGGTCCTAACAGTTGGGTGTCAGCCGAGTGTGACTCTATGGCCTCCAAGGAGGAGGTAGGTCACTAAGCAGAGCTGACTACAGAGACTGATTTTGGTGATTCCTATTAGATTCTTAGTCCCAGAGAGTTGACTAAGGGTACGTGAACATTTTCTCATTTTTTGCTCCATGACAGAGTGTAACTAGCTGCCACCACGTTGGCTGTGCAAACTTTACGGATGCTTCCAAACATGCTCCCAGATACTTATTTGCTCTAACTGGGGCAATCATTTGGTGCAGTCCAGACTTCAGAGAACCCGCTTTGTGTCTGGGACAGGTAGCTCCACAGAGCTGCCATAGCACTGCAGAATCCTGGACCCTAGAAAGTGCTCAGAAAGGGATTTGATTGTGACCTCAACAGGTAAATCACAAACCCAGCACATAGTCTCAGAGAGGGCTTAGCCAGCTTGAAGCAGAAGCATTGAGTTTCTCGACTCACTGTGTGTGGCCAGGGCCTTCCTTGGTTATGGTTTATGAAGTATAATCCCTTGTGTGATGTAAGAACAGGAGAAATGACGCACTGATGGGACTCATGCCTAGAAAGGTAAAAATCTAGGCTACAGTTTTGTGAGGAACATGCGAAATGCCAGAATCCTAGCGTTAGCAGAGGAGACACACCCTCTGGCTGCAGCCCTGAACTAGAGAAGCCTCCAGAAGATGCTGGTGTGGTTTGGAATAACAAGCTTAAGGCTATGTGTCTTAGCCCCCCCACTAAGAAATGCATTAGTTATTTCTGTGAAGCTCAGTTATTTAAAGTTTCTATCAGCCACAGAAGGGTGAGGAAGGGAAGAGGAGGGTGTAGGGACAGGCTTCCAGCTGCAGCAGTTGCTAGCCTGAGTTGCACAGCCTTCTGCTGAGGTGTGACAGACCCCTCCCAGGCAGAAGAAAGAAGTCAGAATAATGATAATGATAATAATAATAATAATTTGGTAGTGGTGGCTGTGCAGACAGAGCCATGCTTCCATTCATACCATCAAGGTCCTGCTCGATGATGTCTCTCCCTTTCCGAAACATATCCATGAGGTCGACATGAGCAATGCCGATGTCCTCACACTCTAGGTCCTGCTCGTCCTCAGGAGGGTCACTCACCACGGTGAAGCGCACACTAAGAAGAACGGGACAGAGAAGGTCACGGACACTCATTCTTTTTTGTTTTATGTTTTGTTTTATATAACTATGTGGAAAATGACAATGTTTCCAGTGGTGCCAATAGAAAGGAAATTACCTTAGGCAAGGATCTTAACTGAACTATTTGAAGCTTTCCAATGGGCACCAATCTCCTTTTTAAGCCTGGATGGTAATTATCTCCAGAATCAAAGAAAATGACCAGGCAAAGAGAAGGACCCAATGTCCATGTCATTGCACCAAATCTGATATTTGATACTTCTACTTTTAATACTAAAAGGATGAAGCTCACAAAGGCCATGGTAGGTTACACAGTCAGCATTTTTGACAGAAAGAAATGCTTCCCCCACTCCCTAGCAGTACAACTCTGGGGTTGGTAGCAAGTAATCTACCCAACTGTATGTGCTGTCCTACAAAATGCAGAGGTTGCACTGCCTGGGGAGCGGTCTGAATGCCCACAGAGAAAGGCTGAGCTCTGCCCAACGGCTGTATCAGATATTCATATTGCTTCAGCAACCTTTTAATATACAACCACAGCATCCAAGTTCTACTTTACTTTTAGACACATAATTGCAGGGCTCTGATGGAACTGATTTGAATTAGTGGCTTGTGCTGAGGCCAAACACACTTGGATTGACCAAATGACAGGAATTTACAGTTAAGTACTCTTTTGATATGTCTTGGCAGCATAGCTTAAACCATGGATGCTTGTAAATCTTACCATTTTAAATTCTGTGAAACATATCTATCCCAAATCAGAAACCAAACAAGAAACAGAAAAACTGAAGCCCCTGAGAAATCAGACTTGAAAAACACACATCAAATCCTTTCCAAATGCTGATAGGTAAACACGACGATGTCTCTAACCAACTTGCTGAAGACAACACTCAGCATTTCACTCCTTTACAAGCCCTTTTAGCTAGGAAAAGAATGTGAAGAAATTAGAAAATAGAGATCTCTTAAGCCCAAATGAAAGTTAACACCCGTTCACACAGAAACCATAGACATGGATCCCGACTGTCGAGTGGTCCAAGTATTTCACATGACGCACAGGATACAGGGATCCAGATGCGTGGTTAGGACATTCATTTGTAGTTCACATTCTGACTGCCACACTTGTATAGCTGTGTGATGCTGAAGAAATCCCTCACGTCTCCCTGATCTCAGCTTCGTTATCTGTGCAATGACATTAGACCTATGAGCAGGGAGGGCTCTTGTGGAGATTAGATGCGGTGATACAAGTAAGCAGAGCCTGGAACACGGCAGGGTGAGCAAAGCAAAAGAAGGTGAGCCAAACAGATTTCCAAGTCAACTGCTGATTTCTTTACTCAGTTAGACAAAACAACTGTTGATAGAGCCCAAGAGGTGGAGCACTGGCTCTCTTGTAGAGAACTTGGATTTCGGCCCCAACACCCACGTGGCAGCTCACAAATATCTGTAACTCCAGTTCCAGGGGATCCAATGCCCTCTTCTGATCTCTTCAGGCATAGTATACACATGGTGCATATATAGACATGCAAGTGAAACACTCATGTACAACAACAACAAAGTTGTCCTAGAATGAACGTAGTTTGGAAAGAAGAAATTAAAAAAATTAAAGCATATGACCACTGTAGCATTGTGAGTGCTACGGCACACCATCCTAACAGTGCCGGCAGAGGGCATCCTGCAGAGCGGGACACACAGAAAAGGAGGCATAGAGTAATGGGGTATTTTCAGGTACTTCAATCTCAGATTTTTAGCTCATACCTGCATCATCTTATAAAGAAAGGCTATTACCTTCATTGAGTGTAGTACATTAATTCTGAGACAAAATTAAAAAATCTTCTAAGTTCTATAAAAGGGCTAAGAATGTGAAGATGTAATATTCCTGACTTTACATTCTGTAAAGAGCAAATGAGAGGTCAAATAAAATTCGCAGATCTAGTGCAGAGATCAATGTTAAAACTCTAGCCTCTGGGGCAGACTACTGGACCACTGGCAGTGGCACCAGGATTTATCCCTACTGCATGTATTGGCCTTTTGGGAACCCATTCTCTTTGGATGGATACCTTGCTCCCAAAGCAATGTGCCTTACCCTCTCTGAGGAGTGGATGGGATTGGGGTGGGAAGGCTAGGTGGAGGGGGGAAGGAGGCAAGGGAGTGGGAACTGGGATTGGTATGTAAAATGAAAAAAGACTTTCTTTTAAAATAAATAAATAAATAAATAAATAAATAAATAAATAAATAAATAAAACAACTCCAGCCTCACATGGACCTCAGCAATAACCTGGTTTCCATTCCCAGCATTAAAAATAAATAAAACCAATGAAAGAACTAGAAAGTTAAACTCAAAAGGGAAGAAAGTTTACTAGATAAAATTAAAAAAAAAACTAGCTTGTATACACACATGCATGCACCCAAGCATACCTCCTGACCTACTTTTGGCTGTTAGAACAAATGCGTTCTGGTGGCCATTCCTCATGGAGGCTCCTGGCCTGCCTAAGGACCCAGATGCACATCTGGGGGTGCAAACATCATGTGATCCCCAGCTGTGTCTTCCTGCAACTCTCTACTTCTAAGATCAGCTTTGCTAGTCCTCCCATCTACCCCAGAATGCCCTCTGCCTCATCCTTCTTGCCTGGTATTCCCTCAGCCTAGAACCCTATGTCCCAGGCTCTTGTATCTCAACTGAGTCCCTTCAACCTTCATAAATCAGCTTAAATGTCCCCTTCCCGGATTGGCTTTCATTCTTATCTACTCTTTTAGTATTTAGTTTGTTCAATCTTTTTTCTTTCTCTTTATCTTTTTAAGGGTCCTCACTACATAGCTCTGTCTGGCCTGTAACTTCTTATGTAGGGCCTCTAACTCACAGAGATGTACCTGCTTCTGCCTCCTAAGTACTGGGATTGAAGATGAGTGCCACCATACCCCGTGTTTGTTCAATTTTTATTACTAATCATCACCATGTGTCATTAATTTATTTGTTTAATTGTCATCAAAGTTTGTCTTCTTCCTTGGTGAATTTTTTTCAGTAGAAATTTTACTCAAGAAAAAGAAATCAAAAGAAAACTTGAAGCACTCAAAACTATGACCTAAAATTAATAAGGAATTTTTTGATATCTTATGTGTACAAGTGTTTGTCTGAATGTATGTATGTGTCCCATGTGCACGTAGTGCCCATGGAGGCCAGAAGCGGGCATCAGAACCCCTGGGGCTGGAGTAGATGGTTGTGAGCCACCATCTAGTGGTGCTGGGAACCAAATTCAAATTCTCTGGAAGAACGGGCCGGTACTCTTGGCCACTAAGCTGCCTCTCCATCCCCAAGTTAATAATTTGTAAAGTTTTATTTCAGTGTATCGTTGTTTAAAACATTTGTGTATTTCCAAATGCAGATGGGACAGTATGTAAAGGTACGGTAAGCAATTCTCTATGAGCTGCCCATGTCATGGAAGAATGTGACCCCTGGCTGTAGCTGGTGACTTAGCACTGGCATTATGCAGGGCTGTCATCTGAGTAAGGGAGTTCTCAAACTAGGGAACTACCTCTGAGTATTAGCAACAGGAGAGAGCACTTGTTAGTGGCCCCTGGCTGTGGCTGTGGGAAGGGGCACGCCATCTCTTTCTTCAGCACAGGGAGGTGAGCAGCATCCCAGCATTCACTAGACAAGCAATGCCCACCTGGCGTCTGCACTATGCTCTCCAAACAAAAAACTTGACATGAACGCTTGTGTCTGTTAGGGACATTTAGCCATTTTTAACGGAACAATGTTGGGATGTAGGAGTTACTGCAGTTACTGTGGCCTTTTTTCTTTTGCTTTTCTTTTTTTTCTATGGTGCCGGGTATCAAACTTCAAACCTACTGTCTCATTCATGCTAAGCAAGCACTCTACCACTGAGCTACCCCCACCCCTATGCCTTCATTTCTGAACTTCTTTGGAGGCAGTAATTCCAACATTCAGACATAAAGAGGACATAGAGAGCTGCTTTCTGTGAACCTGCTGCCAGTACCTTCTGTGAGGCAGTTCTTGTCTTTGCAGTATGGCCTTTAAGATGCCTCTCTCCGCTCGGTTGTTTTCTTTATCCAGGTAGATCACTATAACAAAAGGAAAAACAGGTCTGTAAAGGAAGTCATTCAGACCCACACTCCATGGATACCATCCTGCACTCTGTAGATTCCATTTTTAAAGACACACTCCATGCCATCTTGCTTGTGTGTCTGAGAAATCAGAATCCAATCTGAATGTGATCTAGTGTCCCACCACGGGCAGGTTATGTGCACACTGTTAGAAAGGGCACGGGCACATCTCAGAGTGCTTACCACCATCACTGCCTGTGAACGGCTCTGGCAGACCTCACAGACAAGCTGGAGGTCTTCATTGCTTTGTATTTGAGGGATTCACAGTATTTTCTTTCACCCAAGAAGCAAGTGATGATGATACTGTAGAGCAGCATGCTTGTCCTTCTTGACAGCCCAGTAGTTTAAGCCTCCTCTCCTGCCACTGCATGCAATAAAAGAAGCATCCAGTGTGCAGGTGAAGAAATTCAAGGCTGACATGGCTGTGTGGTGGAGGAAAGGGAGGGGCTATTTGGTGTGTGAAGACTGCTTTGGTCCTGGCGCTTAGGAATGTGGCTGAAACAGATGGAATACCTGTCAAGGGTGGATGCCACTTGGAGGATGGCAGTGCAGACGGACTATTCACACAGTGTGCACCTGGCACCCTGCTTCTTAGCAGGAGACTCTCCTCTTGTACATGCCAGTCTGGGCTCTCTTGCAGCCAGATCTCAGCTCAGACATGATCACGAGTGCACACAGGGACAGCGCTGGGACTCTGGAGCTCGGACACCATCACAAGTACACACGGGGGCAGAGCTGGGACTCTGGAGCTCAGACACCATCACGAGTGCACACGGGGACAGGGCTCGGACTCTGGAGCTCAGACATGATCACGAGTGCACACGGGGACAGAGCTGGGACTCTGGAGCTCGGACACCATCACAAGAGCACACGGGGACAGAGCTGGGACTCTGGAGCTCAGACATGATCACGAGTGCACACAGGGACAGAGCTGGGATGACTCCAGAACTCGTGCTCCTCCAGGGCCACTGTGCACACACATTTCACTGACAATTTTGCAAGGACAATTTCAGTTCAGCTCCAAATGACCATACCATTGACTCACTCAACGGCTTGGCTTCCTGAACAGTATTAATCAAAATCCAAAGGTTTTTCCTGTGGGAGTTAGGCATGGAGTGGAAGACAAAATGCCTGTAAGGTGGTAACTTAGTTGCTCAGGAGAAGCAGAGTCAATGAAAGAGCAGGAGTCAAGTCACAGCTCTGGAGAACTAAAGCCACTGTCCTTACAGAATGCCATACTCTGTGGAGCTCACTGAAATTTGCAGACCAACACAGATGGCTTTGAATGTTTTTCTTTCCTTTTCCTCTCTCTTTCAGACTTATTTATTTATTTATTTATTTATTTATTTATTTATTTATTTATTTATTTATTATGTCTACAGTGTTCTAGTATTCTGCCTGCACACCAGATGAGAGGACCAGATCAAATAACGGATGGCTGTGAGCCACCATGTGGTTGCTGGGAATTGAACCTGGGTCCTCTGGAAGAGCAGCCAGTGCTCTTAACCCCTGAGCCATCTCTCCAGCCCCTGAGTGTTTTTCTTATCATTGCCAGAAAGTATCATAGTAGATACATTTCACTAATGTTGTGGGTCAGTACCTCATTTTTAGTATTTCAAACTGTCAGTATATCAAACTTACTAGGATTTTTTTTCTAATTCAGTATCTGGCTTATTGTATGTTCTTCTACTTCATAATCCCAAAACTTTTACATCATATTGGTTTCCAACATTTGAGGGCCAGAATAATGAAAGTCATCTAGAAGAACAACTGAGGTAGGGTGGTGTGCTGGCTCAGCAGACACAAGCTCTTGCTGCACAGGCCTGGTGACCTAAGAGCAATCCCTGGAACATGGGGATTGAGTGAACCCACTACCAAGGCTAATCTCTGGCTTTCACACAAGTGCTGTGGCACACGTGTGCCCACACTCTCTTCCTCACACTTAGAAAGTTAAAAAAAATTGAGGCAGAAACAGTAACTATAGCTTTTCAGACATGTGTCATGACATGAACTCTGTTATCTTTATCAAAAAAAAAATTTCTTTGTTTTCAAATAATTTTTTAAGTCTCTGATACATAAATAGAAATATTTTTTTGTAGTAAAAGCCTCTGAATTTCCAACTTCATCATTCAAATTTAAATAAAAAGGTCTTTCAATTACATTTAGATTAGTTTTGATGAATTTAAATTTCTGTGGTAACATACATATAACTTAAAATGTATTTTAATCACTTTATAGCACATGCTTATTGACATTAAATGTGGACATGGTGGATATGTTGCTACTTTTCCTCTCTAGAATCTTCCCCTCATCCCCTGCTGAAAGTCTACCTACTAATTATTGACTTTTCATTCCCGTCTGTCTCGACTAACCTCCTCTAAGTGGAGTCACACATCTGTCCTTCATCTCTGGCTTATTTCTCTTAGCAGTGATCTTTACAGGGCTCATCTCTGCTGCCGCATGTATCATATGCAATGCTCAATTATATTCCACACACACACACTGTGTGTTTGTGTCCTTGATTCCGATTCTCTCTATTTACACAGAGGCAGAGCTGCTGAGACAAACGGTGGTTCCATGTTAAACCTTCAAACATTAACTCCCCAACTACACATTTCTACACCACCCTGCTGGGCATTTATGAGTGACATTTTGGCACAAGGCACTACACTCAGCCATAGGGTTGAGAGCAAGGTTGATCTGTATTTTACAGATGGCTAAGCAGACCAGAGAAAGCCAGAGCTTTGTTAGAATACAGTGAGGCTCTCTAGTGTCTGCGCCTCCCTCCCCCTACAGCTAAGCTTCTCCTGGCATTTCAACCTGGCATTTTGTTGGTCCAAGGCTGGAGTGAAGAGAGGTCTGTACCTGAGCTGGGGCACCTACCTTCTTTCTCATTCTTCCACAAAGGGATATTGATTAGATCCATCAAGTTGACTTAAATATACTGGTTGACTCTTAAAAATTCATTTTTTGAAAATCAAATTCTAGTTCCCAACCAATAAATTTCGTTTTAGAAATGCATACCTACTTGTAACTGTGCCTGTTTGTACAAACATCCTAGATGGGGCTCCTGAGTTTAGCTTAGTGGTTCTCTGTTTAACACACATTCCAGCTACTGGGATGGCTTGGTAAAATGCAGATTACTGTGCGGAACCCTCAGAGTTTCATTTCTGATTCAAGGCATCTGTGGCACAGCCCAAGAATGTACCAGTGCAACATCTTTCCTCTTGCTGATATCAAGGTACCCTGATACATTGATATGGTACGCTGGCCAGGCTACCACACACCAAGGACCATCGCAGACCAACATTTCTCCACCCAAGTTTAAATGAGATCAGGAAGTTCTAAACACTCTGTGTTGAATGCTGTGGGAAAGAGGGACACTTTGGCCACCTACAATTCTGACATATGACGCTATGACGCTGTGACCACCAAGATTCATGTGGGATTCTGAAATAACAGATGAGCATTTAAAAAATAATTTTGATTTTAAACAAACCCTTTAAAATGTAATTATAGTAGGCACTAAAAGTAAACTCTCTCAGGTAGTGTTAACTCCCATGTCCATGAGAGATCACATTTGTGTAGAACTTGCTAAGTTTTAACTTTATAAAACACACTTAAAAAGATAATAGCCCAAATTCAAGCTAATTTCCAGTTAGCACCCATTTTAATAATTTTCAGTCACAGAAAAAATGGAATTCTGTTAGTCGTTTCAACATGAATGGGACTGGGGGGTTGGAGAGCATTATGTTCAGTCCAATAGGTTGGGCTGGCACAGGTGGTCTCTAGAGAAGCTGATCTCAGAGCCTGAGAACAATATTTCCCAGAAGCTGGGGGAGATGGTGGGAGGGATGGCAAAGGCTGAGCAGGGTTCCCAGCTCATATCAGATAAGAGAAGGAAGTTCTGGTGGACATTGGACAGGATTTCTATTTCCATGAAAAAAATTTAGAATATTTTTACCACAGGGAAGGAAAGAGTCTGCGCTGAACATGGCGTGCCGTGTACACATATGGCAACAGCACGTGGTGCCTGTAAAGAAGGACAGCTCTTATTTACTATTATCCTCTGGGGCTCAGGGTTTGAGCTTCGGGTTTCATGCTTGTTAAACAAATACTCTAGCACTGACTCTATCTATACTCCAACATTTATAATTATTGTGTCAATTAAATACAGCAAAGCGTCCCTCCCTTTGGTAGGCTGAAGAAATCTGCACGTTCTCCATCCATATGAAATGCAAGAAGTACAGATGGTTTAACTATAGGAGGTTGTTAACCTTGAACCTTTGATAACTTTTATATTAAAATATTATCACCCCTGTAATCTTTATCTTTGCAAAATTTCTCTTCCTATTAGTAACAAAATCTGATGTTCTACATCCTTTTCATTTTCTGAATTAAACTTTAATTGTTCCAAAAGATAGACTGCTCAATCCTCGGAGACTACGGGTCCGGATCTGCACAAGTCTCATAAAAACCTCAGCCGATTTCATTAATCTTTCTTCTTCCTACTGTCAATTCCCCAGAAAGCTTTATGCAGCCCAGACAACATGCTTCAGGCCTACCATTAATCTTCCCACCCAAAAAACTATTTTCTTTACTCAGCATTCTTGGAGTAAAATTTTCAAGCCCAATAAAGTGCAAATGTTGTATTCTCGCTACTAATGTCTACCAAGTGAAGGGAACTTCAGTGTTATTCAGAAACAGTCCTAAGAAGATACTCTCGTCTGCACGTGGAGCTAGCATTAACACCTCTTCATAAAGACTGCATTTGATTAAGAATAATCCTGGGGATTTCCAGTTTATTCCAGTCATCTTATGTACCTAATTTAGGCCTTGGAATTCAAGTTCCTTTTGTGTGGTTCAGATCATAATGTACAGTCGGAACAGAGCTGAGGCAAGAGGACCTCTCTATGGGTAGAGTGTTCACACAATAGAGTGTGTCTAAATTGTGCCCTAAATCTCCCATTGGGTTTTGAAGCCAATTTGGAAATAAAATGACTTTCATTAACTTTCAATGAGATTTCGAGGGTATAAGGCTGTTTTTGTCGACTTTCTCTAAGTAACAAGTGAATGGTAACTAGTACAATAGTTAGTTATATTGTTCATTAGCCAAAAATTCAAGGAAGTCTCTGCAACAGTGAGACAGATTAGTAATTAAAGAATAAACATTCCTACTGTTCTGCCCAACTGAAAAAATGCTAATAAAGTTAAAATTTCCCAAATTTTGTGATGACCTGGGACTTCAGTTTCTGATATGAAATTACGCAGCTTTAAGTGCCGAGTGCATTTCCTTCCCTCCTCACAAAGAAGCTTACCATCAGTCAGTCAGAACTCAACAGACAAGAACAGAAACTTACGTATATATAACAGTATTGCTACTCAATTCTTTTCTATCCTAAAAGGTGTTCCCTGCCCCCAATCAAATGGCTAATTCCTTAGAATCATAATAAGCTCTCAAAACCCCAATCAGATAGCAGAGGCCTTGCAATAAAGGGGAGAAATAGGGCGACCTGGCAGCAAGATTCCAAAGAGACCTCTACAACGCATGTGCACAAAACCTGGGAGGCGTCTGCATGCATCAGAGATTTCACCTGAAGGACTGGGCATGCTTTCTAGGCAAATGAAAACAGCTGTTCTGCTACATGGCCACCTTGCCCAGTGTACAGGTGATTTCTCAAGAACAATCTGTTGCCATTTCATCTGAACACTGTTTTGGTGACCTCTACACAAAATAAAGGCCAAAGTTTATCTCTTTCCTTGGAGTAGTTAAAATTTAGTGAACACCTTTCTTACTACTGCTAATATTTTGATATAGTTTATTTTTCTGGTACTATGCAATTGAATATCTTTAGGAAACTTGAGAAAATACATTTGGGAATGTTTCTTTGACAGCAAGTGAGTGAAAGGATGCACTCAGGTTCTTGTCCTGACCACACCACTAACTTCTCAGACAATCTCTCAAGCCGTCACTTGTTACAGAGTATGAACTGGATGGGATCTCAGAAATCACTTTGTCTTATAATAAGAAATGAAGGAGCTAGGGAATCAACATATCTAGACCAAGTTCACTCATTAGTTAGAACACAGATAGGATTAGAGCAAATCTCTGAGTCCTCACTATTACTGCACAAACAATGAACATATTTCTACAAAGGTCAGTGTTTTGAGCAGGCACGATCATCTGTAATCCTGTTGCTACAACAGCAAGACTATATGTGTTTCTTAAAATGCAGTTTCTAAGACTGTCAAAAAATATCATAGTAGCCTGGTTTGGTGACTCATGCTCTTAATCCCAGCACTTGGGAAGCAGAGGCAGGTGGAATCTATGAGAGCTCAAGGCCAGTCAATCTGGACAGCTAGGGCCACATAGAGAGACACTGTCTCAAATCATCACGATCATTTTGGTTTGAATGAGAATGATCCTCATATGCTCATGTTTCAATGCTTGGTCCCCAGTTGGCTGAAGTGTTTGGGAAGGATTAGGAGTGTGGCCTTGTTGGAGGGGGTGTGCCACTGGGAGGAGCTCTGACCTTTCAAAGGCCATGGCATTCCAGTTGGCTCCCTTTCTGCCTCATGTTGATGTCTCAGTATATAATCCCTCAGTCATGCCCATCTTCGGCCACTGTCCCTACCATGACAGTCATGGACTACCCTCTGAAGCTATAATGCCCTAATAAACTCTTTCTTCTCTAGGCTGCCTTCATCACGGTGTCGCTTCGCAGCAGCAGAGAAGTCGCTAAGACCTGGGTGAGAAAGCCTGCTTCAATACAAGCTGTGAGCTCCCATCTTCACACTTCCACTTGGACTCCAGAGAACGCACTGTTTCGACTCTTGGGGAAGGTAACTTAATCTGATCTTTGTTTTCCCTCTGATTACACACTGTTGATCATGGAATATTAAAAACTCCTGAGAAATGATTGATCTGAGCATCCTCAAGGTGCTTATTGGGTCTGTGTTAGTCCAATAGACTTAACGTGTTAGCTGGTAGATAGAGCAAGCCGCCTGCCTGCTGTAATGCTAAGAGCTTATGCATTGCTGTATCAGGCAGTGCAGAAAGATTTATGGAAGGCACTGACCAAAAAGGCAGCCCACAGCCAGGGTACTACACGATCTGAATGCTGTAATCAAGGGAAAGCCCAGCACATTACTCTCTTTAAAATGTCATGTTTGGATGTTCACCTTCCTAGACATGGACAGAGAGGGGAGGACCTTGGACTTTCCACAGGGCAGGAAACCCTGACTGCTCTCTGGATTGGAGAGGGAGGGGGAGAGGAGCGGGGGGGGGGGGGGGGGGGGGGGGGGGGGGGGGGGGGGGGGAGG